ATTCCTTTGGAAACAATAAAGCGCGGTGGAGATTTTTATTTTGATCTATGTAAGTCTAGTCAATCCAATGACTTAGTCTTAAACATTTCTACCGCTACATACCCCATCCCCTAAAAACATGTAATAGCGTAGGACATTTATTTTCAGCATTTTCATTGCTCTCACAAATGTTAGTAACTAGGGTGTGTATGGAAAGATTAAAACCAATGCTTAGACCACCCTAAATTCAAGACAAAAATGTATGCAATCAAACACACTATTCACACACATGCACCTCTAGGGTAATCTCACTTGTTGCCTCGAAAAATAGTCATGTCCCTCGAATATGGGCGTTTTAGCAAAGACCCTCGATAAAAAGATCGTAGTCCCTCGATGTCCCTTGATGTTGCCTTTGGTAAACGATCTAGTCCCTAATGAAATTGCTAAAATGTCTCATAGGTTGCCTTCTATGACTATACAATTGACCCACGCCCTCACATCCAACGATGGGGCTTCTTATCAAATCAATGGTAAGATAGCAACATCTAAAGGAGGAGGAAAAGAACATTAGACTTTTTGAGTAGGTAGGACGCTCGTAGTTGCTTGTTCACAAACTAAAACCATTTTCCACACATACACTTTCAAAAACATCTTTCAAAATAAACATCTCTTTGAACTATTTTCAAAACCAACACTTTGTACGCATTCTTATAGAGACGAGAATCGTTACAAAGTTTTCCGCAACAAGGGAATTTTGCAAAAATACTTTCAAACTTACACCCACCAAGCACATTTCAAACAAAGCAAAAATAATCTAGCAAGCAACTAAGAGCCCGTAGATAACTATGGATGAAAAGGGTGCTAACACCTTCCCTTTTAATAACCTACCCCCCGAACTCAAGAAAACATATCAAAGGTATTTCCTGTTCTTTTCACCATTTCCTTATTGGATAAAAGAAAATTCGGTGGCAACTCTTGCTATCTGCAACAATTGCGATCAAATGCAAAACAACCAAGTCAGTTCTCCCACCGTATTACAATGCCCAACCTGGATTCAGAGATAACGTGTCACCATCTGACAATAGATCTTACCCTTAAGGCAGTCACCCAACGTAGGCATAAATAGTCTCCGGAGAAAACGAAGGCTGCCGAATAAGTTGTAAAAGACATTCTAGAGGAAAAATTTATTTGTAAAGCCCAATACACAACTTGGCTATCCAATGTGTACTCGTAAAGAAATATAATGAAAAATGTCGCATGTGTGTTGATTATACCGGTCTTAATAGGGATTTCCCCAAATATGTTAATCCTTTTCCGAACATTGATAAATTAGTTGATAATTTTTCAGGTTTCAAACTGTTGTCTTTTTTGGAAGCGTATTCTGAGTACAATCAGAGCCTCACAAAGAAGACATAAAAAAAGTACACGGCCTCCATGATCGGATCATGCAACTATTACTATAACGTAATGCCCTTCGGCCTGAAAAACATTGATGTTACATATCAACGGATGACGAACAAGTTATTTTGAGGAGAAATCGAAGACATGCTCGTAGTCTACATGGACGACATGATCATGAAATCCCAAGAGGAAACTGACCATGCGGTCAACCTAAAGAAAATATTCAACCAATCAAGGAAATGCAGAATGCGATTCAACCTGGAAAAATGCACCTTCGGCATACAGGAAGGAAAGTTCCTCGGTTTCTACCTGAAACAACCGGCTGAACATATCATCAAGATGAAATCAATGAAGTCACAATCAAAATTTTTTATCCCATGCGAAGGGAAAGGTAAACATCGAGTAAACTTAAGAAGGGTGAAATCACGATCAAATGACCAAGAGATCGGGTAAGGGAGTCGGTTACGCGAGGGGAAGGTACTAGCACCTCACACGCCTGTAGTACTCTATGGTATCCACTCTTGTTGTCTATCTTATGGGTGTGTAAGAATCTATATCTAGGTTGTACATGGAATGTATGAAAATGAAAGAAGAAAATGATGTAGGGAAAAATAGAGTTGTGCTCGCTCGGGCCCTACCCCGATGCCTACGTATCCCTTTTAAGGAATTAGATCAATCGTAGTTCAGCTCACGTATTTTGGTTTGTTTGTGTTTTTTAATGAACAATGTTAAATTCAATCATTCCACCGCTGCTCGACCATTGGATACTCATGATATCTAGTGGAAAGGAAATAACATGCTCTCACCTAAACTGGTGTTTTCAAAATAAAAAGGTGGGCGAAGGCAGATGACGTTACGTTCTCGACTCTTAGCAAGTAGACATGATGCAACCCGACCCTTGGGGAATTATGCATCGTATAACATAGAGTGGAAGTAACATATCCTTTTTAAAGTCAATGAAATGCCCACAGGCGAGAAAATGTTTTGAATTGGTTGATATCTTTTACCTTAAAGAAGGACTTGAAATTTTTTTAGATGTTTTGTGCATTTTTAAGAAAAGAGTTTTAATGCAAGGATGCAAAAGAAAGAAAAACATCTAAGGGAGACTATCTAGTTATATCCCTAATGTTATCATACAATGATTGATCCTAAGGTTGAGGATGAAAAGGGAAATTTATACCCTATGTTAGCATGCATGGATTACAATCCTAATGTCTAGCTCGCAAGCTACTATAATCAAGCGATCCTAAGGGAAGCATGGTATAACAAACAAATAAGAAAACAAGTGCTTTGGCAGAAGCAAACAAACATGAGTAGTATATACTGACTCAAAGGGATGGGGGAAACAAGAGAAATGCTTTAGCTAAAGGGAGCGTATCACCCGAAGAAAACAATTGGGAGACAGATAAAATAAGAAAATGTGACGTCTAAAGCGACTAAACACCTAACCATGATATAGAAGATTGAGGTAGGCGATAGAAGATGATATGAACGATCACGAAGTGTTAGCATCAACCAATACGAACTCCTGACAGAGCGTAGGGGTTTGATTGCAAAAGCCTTCCCCTCTTGACAGACTCAATACACAAGATTTGAACGACTATGAAGCATCCATGTACAACGTGAGCTAAGGATGACACATACTAGAATGTGCGGGGGTCGATTACAGACCCTCCCCACTCGCCTCCTTTTGAGGACTTATCACCTGTAATATATGCGGGCACAAGAGTAAACACACATGCAGAATACCTACTTCAAAGGTAGGATTTTAAACAAACCCAAATAGCATACAGAAAGTGGTGCCTACTACAGGACTTTAAACAGATACTTCGAGCGCACGCTATTTATTTCCTGCTTCCTACTTCACATGATTTCTAGAAAGCGGTAAATTCCCATACTACACATGATCTCTAGAAAGCGGTAAATTTTGAAATGAGGTAAACGAGAGAAAATACCAAGCAAACAAAAGTTCGTAGCACTGCGAGCAAAAACAAAGAAAAGAGTCAGAAATCAAATGCCTGAAATAAGCGTAAAAATATCGGCGATGTGAAAATAAATTACAATCGGAATCTCAAGAACATTCGTATATCACACGATAAACCTGCATAAAACTCAAATCTCAACGAGCAAAGGTGAATTACAAATCTCAAGTAATCGGATAATCTCGATTTAATTCCCAAAATAAAATAAAAAAATCTAACCAATTTTTATATTTGATTTTATTATTTTTATCATGCAAAGAAAAATTCAAACAAGTTTAAACAATTAACAAAATTATTTAAAAGAAATTACTAAAATAATAAACAAAAAAAAAACAAGCTCGGGGGTGCAAACTGAATCCAGAATTGGCGTGCTGAAATAGCCTGGGCGTTGCAGGACCATTGAAGAGAAGCACAGAAATTACCTTTTTTTACTCCAAAAACAGGCTCAAAAGGGAGGTGTGTAAATGATCTGGGGCGTGCTGAAGAAGTCCTGTGCTAAAGGCCCATCATGCTGAGTCCATTAGCCAGTTTTTGTTCTCAAGAAAAATGTGTTGCCCAAAAACAGGACACGGGTCCACTAGAGAGCGTGTACATAGAATTCATGGACTTAGGTCCCATTGGCCCAAACCAATCTCAAAATCATCCAGATCTTTTTCTTATTATTGGAATTATTGTTGTTAAAGGAAAAAGCAATTAATAAAAAAAGAAATTATGAAACGCATGCGTTTTGTGAGTCTGTTAGGGTTCAACATTGTGACTCTTCATCTTTAAGACACACTCAATCTCCCTCACCTCGCGAACCAATAGCTCCAATCATATCAACCCCACCGGTCTCCTTCTTCTTCGATCAAAGAACACGATCGTTCATCCGCCGCAAGAGACTGTCTCATCTCGTCTCTCTCTAACTTATCTCTGCCTTAATCTCTACATCCTCATCTTCGCGCGGCCTCAAAATTCTAAACACAGATTCACGATTCACCTCCCTCATCCACCTCATTCATCATATCGAAATCAAAGTAAACAAAATGTGAGGAAGCTATAACAATGACGAATGAAACGAAACAGAACGAGAAAACAAGGATTAAAGCTCATGTTCCAGAGTCGCTCTGGCGGCTCTTCTGCTATGATTACGACGAGAAGACCAAAGAGATATATTCAAGTATACGCTTCTATTCTTCTTCTCTTTCTGAGATTTCGTTTCTATTATGATTCACCGTGTGTGTCTTGACGTTGTTGCAATTCGCAGGCACTATTGATGATGTTGTGGACATGCAGAGAGTTTCTTCTGATTTTTCTGTGATTTTTCAGAGTGTTTGAAGAATGAAGGTGAAGATTGCGAATGATAACATTTGTTGCAGAAGCTCGAGAGAGGTGGAAGAACAATGAAGGTTGATGGAGAAGCTTGAATGAAGATTCAGAAAATAGAGTGTAGAGATCTTTTTGGAGTTTTTCTCGTGTGATTCTTCTACTGGTTTGGAAGATGAAGATGGATAGTGTAGATTGGGAGAAGAGGAAGAGAGAATTTTTATGGTGATTCTTGTGAAAGTTTAGGGATGAAGATGATAATAGTTTAAGATGTAGATGGAGAGCAGAATTTTCTTGAGGTTTTTATGTGGTGATTCTTCAACAGATTGAAGAATGATTGAAGGTGTTTTTGTGTTTCTTCCAGAAGAATGGAGAGAGAATCGTGAAAGGTGAGATTTTCTGGTTTATAGATCTGTTAGAGTTTGTTAGGATGGAACTGAATCTGAGCTGTTTTTTTTTTAAAATAATGATCAGTGTGAATGAATTCTGAATAATAGTGAATCTGGATAATGGTATCTTGTTCCCCTGAATCTCTGAATTTCTGTCATATTACAGGTAAAGTTTGTTATAGGAGAATCAATCATGGCCTTTGGTTATGAGAGAGTCGGTTAGAAGATCGAGGGCCCAAATCAGTCAGTTAGGAACTGTTTTTTCTGTTAGAGAACTCGATAAAAGTTGTTAGTGTTAGAAATTCTGATTTTTCTATCTTTCCCTTTCTAATTTTCTGATATATATATATATATATATATATATATATATATATATATATATATATATATATATATATATATATATATATATATTTGTGTGTGTGCGCGCGCGTGTGTGTGTTAGATTGTGAATTTTCAGTTAGAGGTTGTTGTGAAATCAGTTAGGAGTGTTTAGATTGTTAGTCAATTATTTCTAGTTAGTTAGCCAGTTAGTTTATAATTCTATTTATATTTTTATTGAAACTGTTAAAAAAACTGTTAGTGGTTAAGGAAATTGGGAGTTAAATCATGCGTATGCAGGGCTGCATGTTTATGAATGTTTAAAGTTCCTTGAAACCCCATATGCACTAATCTGGTTCTGAATGTTGTTATAAGTTCTGTTTGCAGGTTAGTAAAAAAATTGGAAAAGTTGGAAATGGTTAGAATGATGGAAACTGTTATGGACATTTAGTATGGGCATGATTATTTATGGATATGCCAACTATTTTGGTTCTTGTATGCAGGGTTGTTTAGCGCCTGTTTTGATTTTGGTTTTATTAGGACTGGTGCAAGACAATGCGAATCTGGGAAGTAGGTTTCGTTTTAGCCGCAACTTTGGAGTTTTGGATATTTATGGAACAATACTTAAAGGAATGTCCTCATGATGAAGCCTTATGACTAGGTTTAGCATAGATTTATTTTTTGTAATCTTGTATGAACATATGAATGTATCTCGACATCTTGTAGACTTTCATCAAATGATAATGATGAATGATGAATTTTGAAAGAATAGTGCCTCGATAAACTTTGGATTTCAAACATTCCTTGATGTAATGTCCTTGTGATGGAAATTTCAAACTGAGATAAACTTTTGAATGATTTTAAATCTTAATGAAACTTTTAAGTGAACCTTGCATGGACTTGAATGATGAATATCTAAGGATGAAGAATGATATTGATTCTTGCTCACTTGAAATTTGAACTGGCATAATGATGATGAACATAATGATGCGTGGACCTTGAATTAATTGATGATGAATTTGAGTGGATGCATAAGGACATGAATGATGATATTTGAAACTTTTAATTTTGGACGCTTTAAATGAATACGATATATTCCTTTTTATACTTGAATTCTAAGAAATCCACACAAATGCTTAAGAACGTTCAATTCACTTTGATTATTTTTGAACTCAAATCTTCTTCATATATCAATGAACAAATTCCAACCAACGTGCATCTTCAATGAATCCCTAATTCCATGCTTCACTGCTTGAAGAACCAGAAGAATCAAACTGAATTGATATGTACATCTCAAACTACCATGAAACCTTAACTTGTACACCCAGTGAACGTTGAACCTCAAGAGCTTTAAGGAAATGCGAATGCATGCTATGAAGATGAATGCAAAAAACAAAGCCAGATAAGAGAAATTAAGAGGGAAAATTTTGGGGTGCAACAACTGCCCTTATTCAAGCTTCTTCAACCTAAAGCGAGATTGGAAACGACAACCTTTCGAGCGATAAGGTGGAAGGAGATTGAATACAAAAATGAACTAAACAATTTTCACTCTAAATTGAGATGACGTATCAACACAGGGTATAATTGTAATGTCCTCTTGGCCCTAGACTAAAGAACAAGTTTGTAAATGATAGATAGAGATCAAAGACCGTGGAACTTAATCCAAAAATGCTAGTAATGACTGGAATTTACAGAATGCCAGAATGCTGCATTCAGAGAAAGAGATAAAGATTGAAGGGTGCTAGTAAAAACTAGACTTTACAGAATGCCAGAACGCTGAGTTCTGAGAAAAGGTAAGCGAGTAACAACTCGATCCCACAGAATTCCAGAATGCTGCACTCTTAGGAAGAAAAATAACGGCCAAAAGCTGCTAGTAACGACTAGACTTCACAGAATGCTAGAACGTTGCATTCTGAGAAGGAGATAAAGACTGAAGGGTGCTAGTAACAACTAGACTTTACAAAAATCCACAACGCTCCATTCTGAGAAAAGGTAAGTGCCGAAAGATGCTAGTAACAACTGGACTTTACAGAATTCCAGAATGCTGCATTCTGAGAAAGAATAATGGCCTCACAAGGGAAGACTAGTAACAACCAGACTTCACAAAATACCAGTAACAACTGGTCTCGATCAAACTGGAAAAATGCCTTTCTGAACCAAAACCCATTGGCACGTTAATCACAAAGCTAGGGGACCGAGTGAAGGTACAAGTAATGACTCGACCTTAGGAATACTTCAAAAGTGTCTCACAATTGGATCATAAACCAAAACCAAGAGTAATGACTGTTGTTTTAAAAGGAACTAGTAACGACTAGACCTTGATGAGTACTCCTTAGGATACTAATAACAATTTGGATCCGCAAAACAAGGTGAACACCTGATGATCTCGAACCAGAAGAAGCAGTACCGACTGACCGTAACCAAGGAATTACAGAGACGAAATGAGACAAATATTAATCTGACTCAGTAGAATCTAGTAATGACTAGACTCAACCAATATGAAATGAATGCCAGAACACTGCACTCAGAAATCAGGTGACAAGTCGCGAACTTGATCTTGGTAGGAATGGTATCTACCAACCCTCAAAGTTGCACTAGGGCGAAGCTAACAACAACAAGGAAAATGAGTAACGACTCGATAGGAGAAGACTAGTAATGACTAGATTCCTCAGAATACCAGAATGCTGTATTCTGAAAAAGATACGCAAGTAACAACTCGACAGGGGATAAAGATATGCATGTTTGGTCAGAGTTAGACATACATAAGAAAGAGACTGATCGAAGTAGAATCTCAACAAAGGATAATAGAGATATATGTCAGGCAAGAATTATACATATACAAGAAGGAGAACGACCGAAGAAGGCTCTAGTGAAGAAACACCAATCAAAAGTGAACTTACTGGGGATACCAATAGACATTGATTCTGAATAGAACACCAATCGAAAGTGAACTTACAAAGAAAAGAGACCAATCGGAGGTAGACTCTTAATCAAGGACACCAACCGAAGGTGGATTTAAGTAAAAGAACGCCGATTAAAGGAGAATTCAAAGGGGATAATGATATGCATGTCTGGTCAGAGTTAGACACACAAAAACGAAATTGGGCATCAAGAAACAAATGTTCGGAACTGGTATCAAACATAAGAAAGAGACTAACCGAAGAAAGCCCTAACAAGAGAGGAGGCATTCTCCTAAACAAGGATGCTAGACAACTGGACTTTGAAGAGACAGTGAAGGAATCTTAACAGAGAAGGTTAGCTAAGCTAATAGAAGGAGAACCTGACTAGCGCGGATACCAAAGGAAAATATCTGACTAAGCAGGACCATTAGAGAGCACCAATCGAAGGTGATCTCTACAAGAGAAAGAGACCAACCGACGGGGACTCTAACAAATATTTCCAAAACACGTTAGGCTTTTGACAGGTTGCAAATGTGCAAGAATTACAATATTCCTCAGGCCAGAAGCGGGGTGTAATTCTTCAAGAGTGGCAATTATGCAAATTACCACACCCCAAGCATGGATACTCAAATACTTGAGAAATAAGAAAGGTTATACACTGACTCTTAATCACACTCAGTATACAAGGCCAACACGGGTGAAAATAACCAAGGGCTTGCAAAGGCAAAGGAAAAACCATGACTCACTGGGGAAATGGAAAGCACCAAAGACCTGACTAGTGGTAAATCAAAGTGGACTTCGCTGGGGAAACAAAATAAGATCCACCCTAAGCTTGTTGTGGAGATAATTCAAATATGAGCGCATAACAATTTGGTTATTACATGTGAACATAACTGGCTTAAACCTTAATGCATGTTTGAATTTTTTATAGCGTAATGCTCCATACAATGGAAATGCTACGCGTTTTAGTGGATGTAATGTAATGATGCATGTTTATAAATCACTGGGGAAAACACGTTAATAATCGGTTGCTGAGAAGACCCAAAACCTCCGAGTGATTATCTTTGCATATCTGACTTATGTAGAGAAGAATCCCTCTAAACTTCAATGGGGAAATGAGATTCGGAACCAACGACCTCTGAAAATTGATATCACCGGGGAAATAACTTCCTTGGGAAAATACTGCAAAAATAAACTGCAGTTTAGAGAAACTCTTGAGCTCTAGTCAAACTCTTAACTTCCCGAGGAAAAGATCTAACCTCTTTCCACGGATGAAGAGAACCTCCCTGGGAATTGGGACCTTCGGATGTAAGCCCTTAATGAAAGTGACTTCAACTGGGGACTCGTAGAAATTCTTAAATAAAAGAATTCTACCCATGCCACGATGGGGATACTACCACTGGGCGGTAACAATCTTCACTATGGAAAGAGGAGGACACCTTTGAACCATAAGCTTGAGGTTCATAACTCCACTAAGGAAATATTTTAGCAATACCCTATCAGTGGGGATAAAATAACCCTAAACAACATTCGTTTATGCATACCGCTCCCGAAAATAGGAGACTTGCTCCACTGGGGCATAATAAGCATGCTGATCAAACATCTCTTCAAGAAAACCTGACAGGAGCAAACTTCTCTAGGGAGAAAAGATATGAACTACGTGGGGACGATGAACGAAAACCTCACTGGGGAGATAAATATCAACCACGAAGTTACATGGTATCTACTTCAAGGGGATATAACAAAGGTATCCAGTCCAATGAAACTATCCTTCCCGGATTCTTCGAAACAGAGTCGGCTGCACTGAAGAAGAAGATCATACAGAAACATGCTGACATGCACTTATTTGGAGATAAGCCCTATGCAAGGGAGAAACTCTTATCAAGAGTACCAACTTTAGTGGGGATTACGCCTGGGTATACTTTCACTGGATATAAGGGATTCTGTTTAGGCGAGAGTACACCTTTAATAGGGATGAATGATTTTGTCTTGAGCGAAAGTGAGCATTCATTAGGGAAATTGGATCCCATTCTACAGAAATCCTCATGCTGGTCACATACAAACCCTTCTTGATTCATTTGCTGGTATGCTTCTTGTCATAAAAACCAACAGTACTTGCAAAAAGAGAGATTGTGGCAATATGCCCCATGTGTGGAATGGAAACTTCCGTTGAGGAATAAACAGTTTGAACTACCGACACTGAGTAAAAACTGCGACGCAAGCTTGCAACTTCATCATGTCAACTCCAAGGAGGAATGCCACTAAAAAGTGGACTTTAGAGAAGATGCTGCAAAAATCAATTGCAGTCTACTGAAAAAAATCATCTTGACTTCAAACAGCTTCTAAATTTATGGGGAGAAGATCCATTCTCCTCCTATAGAGAAATGAAGAATGCTTCACTGGGGAATAAAGATCTCTGAAGTGAAAGCCCTTAGCAGACAGACCTTTGCCAAGTAGCAACAAATCCAACATCTGGGGAAATGAGTCCTTTTAGGAAACAACATTTCCATCATAAACCTCGTATGGGTAACAACCTCACATGCCCTTTGCATTACTACTCATATCCTGTTGAGGATAACCATTCGATACTTCGATTGGAGATGGATAACAATCCTAACTTATGATGGAGGAACATCAATAAATGGACTTAAGTTTCTTATGAGCCAAGGATAATGATCTTGACTTCTCGGCATGCTCTTTAAATACATAAATTGTATAGCCCGCGCCTGGACTTAATCTGATCA